ATGAATGCATTGGCACTGCTTCTGAGCTCGATTCTAGAAGCCATAAAAGAAGTTCCCCCGGTTTTGATTACCCCATTAAAGTCGCAGAGCTGAATAGGGCATTCCACTAATTACCACCTTCAGCTTTTCCACGTATGAAGGTCTCTACTTCTTAGATTTTTAAATATTTTTACCATTCTCTTGTGAAATCATTCAATACGAGCTTCTGTTAAATGTTCATTTCCAGATTCTTATGCTCTTTCCAGTTTCCCGTAGATTAATGTTTCACTTTAACCATCTTCCAGCATTTATTCAGTAGTGCTTCAATTTAGCAACCGTGTATCGGTTTTTAAAAAAAACACTGAATTTATGGGATGAATTAGGAGCAAGCTACTGAGTGAATGTGGATCGGGCTAAAGTACGACAATTATTTTGACATTTAAATGATAGAAACTACTTTGCTCGCCCACCCACGCATCCTTCCATTCACCTACTTCCAAATCAGTCACTCGTTCTTATCGATTATCGACTATGGGCAAATTAATTGCATGGTAAGTGGTCACATTCAACTGCTCATAAAAAATCGATATCCATCAATAAACTCTGCACGTAAATGGCCTTTATTATCAAAACACTGAAATGAAGTCTGTTCGCCTTGTCATTCGTCACACCTCCATTCTTTGACTACACGATCTGGCCAAACGGCTTCAATTTATTGTCGGGGACAGAAAATTAGGCAATCAAACAAGGAACAAACAAATGAATGAATGGCTAAAATAAATGAAAGTGAAGCCTTATTTCGGCTCTTATTTTACTTTACAAAAAAGGCTTAGTATTTCGGCGGTATGAAGACCTTCTACGCGCACTTGTCACTGAAATATTGATTTTTGGCTTGCTGACTGTTGAGCGTGATTACAACTCAGATGATGAATAGGGCAAAAATCGATAATCAATAAAGCAGACAAGCATAAATATATGCGTCCACTTTTTACGCACAAAGATCTGCAAATTGTTTAAGCTTCTGGGAATTTTTTCCTATTCACTATTGGCTAGAAGAGGGTGGAATTGGGTGAATCATTAATTTGCGCTTGTCAACAGGAAGCCACGCACACATTGAGTTTTGTGATGGCGGTTTAGGTTAGCAATCACTTTTACAGTGAAACGCGGTGAATTACACAAAAGACGTGAAATTATGCAACTCGTTACAGTCAAGGCTAGCGATTGCAAGCAGGCGTGGTCGGTGCGAATTTGAAAACGCCTACTCTGGTGTGGCAAGCAGCTAAAGCACACTAGAAACATTTGCATCTACCATGCCCTGTTTGTTTGTGTTTGCCCTGAAGGTTTTTGGACGTGTATGATCATTATCTGCGTTTGTGCGCATTGTTATGTGATTCATCTCACCCCTACTGGTAGGCAGCTCCACGACTCCTTCCAAATCTCCGGCCTTCCGCTTACTTATTAAGGCGGTTTTAAGGAATAAACCATTTTAATTTGTTTTACATTTTACCACTAAAATATAGACCAAAAGGTGAAATATCAACTGAACACAGAAATAGCAATTGAACTGATCGTACAATCTCCTAAGAAACCGGTTTGCAAGGAATAAAAGCAAAGACGGACGGAATGGATGGTATCCCAATCACCTTTCCTCAATTCCTTCCAGTCACCGTGACCGTTGAAGATCAAGTAGATCCAACGCCCTGACTGTATACCTCAACCTTTTTAGAAAAGACTTCTCTAAATCTAAAATTAGTAGTAGCGTTTAATGTGGAAGCTATGACCGTCTCAATAAGCAAAGCGCGACACAAACTGACAACTTGCCAATGTCATCGCACCCACCAACCGCAGAAGCGCTTTGATGAAGCCGTGTGTGTATGCGTACCCATAGTCATTAACAGGCGCCACTGTGATTGGCTCAATGGGACATAAAAACTAAAGCTCAGCTTTCACATCTCATCCACGCAGAATGCTGGTTCGTCAGGCCACCCTCACCTACCAGAAGGCCCTCTCCTCCTTCGCCGCCCGTGCCGCAGCTGTCGGTGTCAATTTGAGAGGCCATCATGGCACTGGAGCATGTTCCCACCAAACTCCAAAAATCCTAATCACTGGTGGTCTTGGTCAACTTGGAATGCCCCTAGCACGCGTCTTTCGGTAGGCTGCCAATATGAAAGCCTCATTTTTTTAGTTCCAAATATGGCCAGGACTCTGTCATCCTGACTGACATTAAGAAACCCGATCCTGCTGTGAAGGATGTCGGCCACTTTGAGTTCGCTGACATCATGGATGTTGATGGATTGAGAGAACTGGTGGTGGAGCATCGTATTGACTGGCTCATCCACTTCTCAGCTTTGCTCTCCGCTGTTGGAGAACAAAACACCCCGTTGGCGATGCAGGTGAATATTGGAGGTCTTCATAACATTTTCAACGTGGCGCGAGAATTCAGTCTCCGTCTGTTCATTCCCAGCACCATCGGTATGTTCATTTTTGCCCGAAAGATAATCTTGAAGTCTTTCAGGAGCCTTTGGACCCAATTCACCGCGTAATCCGACACCTGATGATTGTATTCAACAACCGAATACCATATATGGTGTGAGCAAGGTTCATGCTGAACTACTCGGCATGTATTTGAACCACAGATACGGACTTGACTTCAGATCTCTCCGTCTTCCCGGTGTCATCTCTGCTGATGTCGAACCCGGCGGTGGCACAACAGGTAATTCTGAATGTCTTGATTTCAATGTCTTCTAGACTACGCCATTCATATTTTCAAGTACGCAATGCGTGGTGAACCCTACCCTTGCTTTCTAAGCCAGAATACGAGGCTGCCGATGATTTGGATCGATGATGTTATTCGAGCCATGGCCGAAGTGATGGAATGCCCAAGAGAGAAGTTGAAGAGGTGTGTTTACAATCTGGCGGGTATTTCGTTCACCCCGAAGGAGATTAATGAAGCTATGCTTCGTGGAATGCACCGGCATGGATTGATAGAGCAGTTGAAGACGTATGAGCTCAAATACGACGTTGACTTCCGTCAAAAGATTGGTATGTTTGAAGCTGAGTGAATGCACCCGTGTGTGTGTGTGTGTGTGCGTGCGTGTGTGTGTAGGAATCAAAGCGTTCTAAAACTACATGAGCGTCCAATTTGTGCTTAGCTGATAGTTGGCCAGAAGTTTTGGACGATGCCAATGCCAGACGAGACTGGGGCTGGAGGCACGAGGTCGACATCGATGGCATGGTGGACAAGATGTTTGAGTACCTCAAGGCCCACTCAACCTGCAAGTTTGAAATTCTCTATTTAGTGTTAAATTGTGCAAACCACAACGGCTTATTTACGCATTCGCTTTTTAGAAACTAGAAAACGGTTTTCAGCACCGCACGTCCCTCGAATTTCATCCATCTATATTTTCTTTCCGATGGAACATTGCCACTTTAGTCAGTGTATTTAAGCATCATGCATTCGTATTCATTTATGCAAATTTTTGCTTTGGCGGAGGTAAATGGGGTAGATACCAGCAACACCATTGACAGTGATCTTTAAACAATGTCCTTTGGTATGGGGTAAGCTACGTGGATGAGGACTGTGGGTTTCCATAAAGTTGGATTGTTGTGTGGGCGTGTGGGGTGTGGTCTTGATGCCACTCTAGTTATTTAAAGGAGTAGATGATCCCAATTTGGCGGAGACAATCGGTATGTTGAATTGCCTGTCTTGATAAGGCACGTATAAAAATGCCAAAATGAGGGTATTTTAATGAATGGGACGTTTGGTGTAGTTGGTGGTGTCTTTACTCAAAGAAAAATGCAAAAAGATGCTTGCAGTAATGAGAAATAAGGCTGATTTGTCGAATCTAGTGGCCTGATATATAATGTCCATCCGTACACTTTACGGCGCGTGGCCTCCAGACACCAAAGATGGAACTTCCACTCGTCGACACAGACTTATGGCCAAGTATATAGCTCCCTCACTATTCTGTATGCACAGAATGGGTGATCTTTAAAGACCGGGAGTGTTTGCATCAGAATGTCCCTAAGAATGATAGAGACTGATGCGAAGTAAAACAACCACTCTGTACCAGTATCAGAATGGAACAATAGTCCAATACAAAAACGGTGTAGGTTACTCGCAAAGACTACTTTTAGCAATGTATCATGGCATCACCAACCGTCTATTTTCTACCTTATGGATAGACGGGTGTAAAGGCGCTAAAACAATGTATTTTTTGTATATTTGCTAATAACTAAAAATGCTGACACCATAAAAGTGGATCGCAATTGGTAATTGTAAACTAGATATTAGGCATAAACTACGAGGCCATTCCTAGAACACTTAAGTAATCTCGGTATATTTGTGATTTTAGATTTAAATTGAGCCAAATCAAAAAATAAAAATAAAAATATTTTTAGAATGAAAACATTTAAAAAATTTTTTTGCTAGCAAGATAGAAGAATTATGCTGAGTGGATTGTAAAATCACCTACATGGGTGTTTGGATATCTGAAATAATAACGATTTTTCAAACAAGGATGTCCTAGAGTGATTTTCCAGCTAACCCAGGTGTTCAAGACAACTCGGCAGCGATGGATTATAGTACGGCTTTCAAGTCACTTACTAAAGGAATGGACGAGTTTAAGGCCCCTGTGGTCAAAGTAAGTTCAGTGTTTTATGTATATGTTTTCTGCTTAGGGACTCAAAAAGTCGTCCTCGAGTGCAGAATCCATCGATCATTGTGATTACAGTACTATCCCATACAACTGTGTGAAAGCGTTTCTCTGCAAATCACCTCGAGTTCAGAAATCGCGCTTTCCACCAATTTTTTCATTCGAATCCCTTCTGAAATCTCCTTACAATTTTCCACCTGACACGACTGATATTTTGTCCACTTTGAATTATGCTAAACCTATGCCAGTGCAAACGGAAGTCATTCCAATATTCCATGAGGTAGGTAATTGCCTAAAATCTCATTATTTCGGTGTTTTTAGGGACATAATATGCTGGTTGGCTCACCAACAGGCTCCGGAAAAACAGCCGCCTACCTTCTCCCGATTTTGAATTTTGCTGCTTGTGCTAAAATTGGTTCGAATTCACAGAAGAAGCACACTGTTCATCCATATGCTATTATTCTCTCTACCACACGGGAACTTTTGGGCCAGATTTGGACGGAGGCGATAAGATTGGGTCAGAACTTGTTTCCAAAACACGGGAAGATCGCAATTCTTCGTCGTAACCACTATGGACTGAGGAAGAAGCAGAGTGTTTGTTCAGGTGTTTTTCGTAATGCGGAACTTTTAGGAGGAAAAGAAAACCATTTCGAATAAGACGCGTGAATTGCGTCTGCCTTCGGATACGAAGGTTCTTATTACAACGCCGAAGCGGTTGGTGATGTTGTTAACAAAGACCGGAAAACAGTGTCCTATTAGCTTCACTAGGTACGCTTTACTGTTATTCTCTAAATTCGTGGTTATCATCAACGTCTGGTTTTTATTTGTAAAACGACTGCTACTTGTCTTTTGTAAATAGTATAACACCAATTGTTCACATCTGCTTATCAGATATCGACTTCTTTTATTTGTGTTGAAAATTCTCCCCTCCTAATTTGCATTCATCATTCACCGCCAAATCTGTTCCGGGTGTAGCTTAAAAGTGCTTCTCCTTTACAAGCTATGTTCGGGTTAACAAATCATCCCTAATTACAGTCTGCGCTGGCTAGTGATCGATGAGTGTGACAAAATGCTCGAATCAAACATTGGCGACAACGCCGCCATCCTCCGCGCCTTTCGGTCCCAACTCACTGCCATTCTCCACAGCATTCGCGTTGATGCCACTAAATTTCCTAACGTTGCACTATTCTCCGCCACCTTGACCCCTCCTGTTGTTGCTTGGGCAACAGAAGAACTCGGGAGGACCGACTCTTCACTTTCGAGAGGTCTAGTGAAGGTCCAACTGGGCGATTGGTAAGTTTTATCGACTATGAGTTCGCATTAAGTGTGTGGGAGGCTTTTAAAACTTTTCAATTGTGAATTTATTCCTTGCCAGTAATGCGGCAGTCTCATTGGTACGACAGGAACTACGCTACTGCGGTTCGGAGCAAGGCAAATTGCTGGAATTGCGCAAAATGCTCATTGACGGCCTCATATATCCCTGTCTCATCTTCACTGAGTCTCGACAACGAGCTACCGATCTGTTCAGGGAGATTGTTCTCTGTGATAAACTGATTCTTGTCGGTATTCTCTCCAGTGAAAAGAGTGAAGCACAGGTAGGTTGTTTGATTGGTAGTTAAATACTACTTATGCCATTTTAAGCAAATATGTTGGTGCTGTACTAGTAGATCACAGATAGGTTTACTACATAAACGCCTTGACAACTTGCAAAAGTAGGACAATTTTATTCTTAAAATATTCCTTTCGTAATTACGGTGTCGCTCGAACTCCCCTTATGAATAATATGAAATATACGAGTGCAGCTTCATACCATCAATTCGTGGTCCGATTGGTAAAATGGGAAGGGGAATTCATCTGCAAATATACCAATAACATACTTGATAGCTCTATTCCTTTCTAAAACACCCTAAGGGTTCATATAAATTTTGCGATCATCACTGAAATAGCTTAGGCCTTGTTGATCTCGTTTCAGCGTATTGCTACAGTGAAGGCTTTTCGTGAAGGCAAGGTCAATGTCCTCATTTGTACCGACCTCCTCGGTCGAGGCATGGACTTCAAGGTATGCTCCACCCATTACTATCCCAAAATGATTGCTGCTTCAGATATTTAAGTAGTATATTTTGCCCCCAGAGCTTGATGATGGTGGTGAATTACGATCTTCCACCCTCTCCTGTTGAATACATTCACCGTGTCGGTCGAACTGGACGGGCTGGCCGTGCGGGTGGACGTGCAGTCACCCTGTGGACGGACGCTGATCTGCCCCACATGGACTCTATTCTGGACGTGATGAGTAGAAGTGGTGCAGAAGTAGACCCAGATCTTCGACGTCTTGTGGCAGCTTGGAAGGCAAGAAAAGCGAAACAGACGCATGCACGCGCGCTGGGAGGAGTGGTCTCCCAACGCAAAGGTGAACGTAAACTGGCCGCCAAGGTGGCGTTGAAGAAGTCAAGAGGCGAATTTAATCGGTAATTTTTATGAGAGGGAGATGTGGGACAGTTCTATCGGTTCTCAGTGCCTTTTTTCAATTCCGTGCGGGTGTATTTGTAGAGAGCGAGGCCTTCTCCGACCTTGGAATCCGCACCGGGAGAGTATCACTGACGTGCCGGGGTCAAAATTTCGCGACCTCAAGATAGCGAATGGTGAATCGATGGTTGGTGGTGGGAGAAGGGCAAAGAAGAGGAAGAGAGCTGTCAAAAAGACAACTTAAGTATGCTGATTGTGTAAATAAATATGCAGAAAGAGGAGACAAGAGAATATATGCGAATTAGAGTATCTGTGCCTCTCTTGAACTGCTCTATTGACCGTTAAATAGCGTACTTTTCGAAGAGGTTGAACTTTTGGAAAATGGGTTTACATTACCAAAGGTGCGAGCTTATGCGCGTTCCTAAATCATTTTGTTTATTAATGGGTTCGACGTTTATCTCTTCCTCTTTGACCATTCCCTTGGAGCGAGCGGAGTGATTATGTGATCGGGGTTGCGCCCGTTCAATGCGCACTTCTCCCTCGCGGATGGATGACAACTGTTCCGTGGCGAGATTTGTGTTCACTGGTCGTCTTCCGCCTGAGGTGTGTTCAAACAAACCTGTGTTACGCTTTATTGGCGCGGTCTCTAGGTCATAGGTTGGAACTTCTTATGGGTGGAATTTACCATAATGAGCTCCTAGGCCGCTGTTTTTTTTTTAGCTACGAAGAAATAACGTTGAGTAGAAGCATTTGAGGAATTCAAATGAGTCACGGGTCCCAACCGCTTCTGTCGCCTCATCACTGTTCAGATTTGGGACGTCATTTTTACGGGATCGTGACAGCCACCTGAGTTTTGATTCCTCCAATATTCTGACAGTAGGTAGTCGAAGGCGTACGAATTCCAAAACCCGTGGTTCCTGAAAGGCTTTTTTTAAATGGAGATTAGCTTTACCTGGTTCACTGCTCTTCATACCTAATTTGTCGACAATTCGGTGGTTGAAAAGCCACCATCCATTCGTTTTGGGCTAACTAAGGTTGGCAAATAAACGTGACGTCCTTCTAAAAGGCTATGCTACTCCGAGACCATATAGTTTTGAAGCCTGAATCCATTAGCTATTGAAATCCACAAAATCCTGCGATATTTGCAAACGTTCTCTTATTAATGTTCTTAAGATCTTGCTTTTAATCTAGAATGAGGCTTATCTACCGCTTTAACATTATGAGTAGTATCTGCCTTGTTGATGAGCAAATCAAACCACCGGTGAATCAAACACCACGCCAATTTTGAAACTCATGATAGCGCTCTCCAAGGCGGTTCCAATGAACCCAGCAAGTGAGGAATGACTTGGCTGTCCTTGAAAACGCTATCAGGCCAATTAAATAACTTGGGTTTTCGCTTTTACTAAATGTTTCTTTGTCTCGGTAAGTAAGCATTCAAAACCTAGTTGGGTCCCACCATATTTCCCAATTGTCTTCAGTTTTTCCATATATGCATGTGATTGACTAAGGCTTGGAAATAGCTGTGGGAAGTATTACACCAGAGGTAAACGGTGGACGGAGGTCGAGACAGTATCTCCCTCCTGATTGGATGATACGGAACGTTGTCTTGCAGGCCCAGGGGTTGGACTGTTTCCAAGGCAGTTTTTCGTGCACAACTTCCAATTGTTGTGAGTAGGTGTATCTCACTCAATTACGCACAAAGAGGGTAGGATCTTGTGGAGGTGAAGTGACGCGTGCTTTAGACGCAGTGTAGGTGGTGGACCGCTTGGAGACAACCAATGCCATACTCATTGCCATAACGACGGCGTAAAAAGCTATTTGTTGTCAAAGGGCTCGGCAACCTAGAAATGTCTTTCGTATAACATGAAAGGAGCAAAGATCAGATCGATGGCCTTTGAAGTTGTCATATGTTGTTGCTTGTGTGAGACGCGTTTGGCTAGCCTCCTGATTTTGCTAGTTCAAATGCTTGTTAATAAATTGTTGCACCATTCACGTGACAATTCATTTCAAGATTTTGAGACGTTAACTCGTGTCGTTGATGGTATGTGGTTTCCATGATCCAAAATATATGGACCTCTTCAACTCGAAGAAAACATTTCTAGTGATACCTTCTATCACTTCATACCGCAACCTCGATCCGCATCCATTCTGTTCAACTGGCGCTTGACCAATACAAAGGTCAAAAAGTATGCGATTGACTGGTGCGACATGCTTATGCAGTCACATTAAACAAATCATCACAAGTTACAAAGTCTTATCTGGATTAGTCATCTGACATTGTGGACAAACGCAGTCGCCTGTTAAATGACCGTCGCCGTGTTTTAAAAGCCGCTCTCGGCCCTACCATCAACCACTGACACCAAAGACGGTCTTAATTGCGGAGGTCCATTTCGAGAATTTTGCGTACCCATTGCATTCCAAAAGGACATTCAGATCGAACGGGGATTTCTTAACTAACAAGCCACAGATGGGACTCTTTTATGCTGGCACAAGTAGCAATGACAGGTTTATTTTTTTGCTTTTGCGACTGCTACCAGCACGGCGCGCATGTCACGCGTCAGGGCAGACCGCAGTGTCAACGCACGCATAAAACCTGACGTGGAGATAAACAGTCGGTTGTGGACAAAGGCGTAAGGACGCGAGGACACCCGAACCCATAGATTTTAACAACCCTCGGTCACGGCATGGCATTTGAATTGAGTATATGTTTTAAAGACTTCCACAGAACGCCTAATCAAGACCCTGGCCACAGCGCTTCCGTTGCTATCTCATAACGAGGCAGTCATTTTTTAAGAACATTGAAGGTGTGAAAGCCCGATCAATGTACAACCGGTCGTGAAACTGTACAGGTAACAAAGCCTTCTGCAATGTCAAAAAGTTAGCCTGAACGATGCATTGAGACAAGCAGAAGTGACTCAACTGCACTCCAGTCCAAAACTTTCCAAGGGCTTTACACCCTTGCGCATGGGTACAAATTTGGCGGAGAACTACGACAAAATTTCAATTACTTGCCTTATAAACTTGGAAGTCCCGATTTGACCCAAACGACTCTCGTTTTTTTCCTTTTTCCACACATCCTCTCGCCAGCTGACTTGATCAACAACCATTTCGGATAAGCCCAAGGCCTAAAAACGAGGCAACTTCAAGCGCGAAATCAGAGCCAAACGCACCTGCAATGAAAGGGTAAAGGAGGTCAGTTTGAAAGCTACGCACTAAAAATTAAGCCCTGAAATTTTCTCGTAGTAGAAAATGACAGTGAATAAATAACAGCAATAATGACTCGGGACAGTCCCATAA